CAGGCAGGACCCACGCTGGGGGTCCGTGGGGCAGGCCGCACATGGGGCAGGCCATCTCACCGCCGGGAGGGGGATGACGCGCTCCATCTTGCCGACACGGTCGCGCAGGGCGCGGATCTGCTCGTCCTTCGCGCTGTTCTGGCGCTTCACCTCCCGCAGGATCCCCGCCAGCTTGTCCAGGTGAGCCCGCAGCCCCTCCACCTCCGCCCCGCTGACATCGCCGCCGCCGCCGTCCTCTTCACCTCCTCCCACCGTATCCCAAACGTCCCGCGCCACGGCGCGCCAGGTCTCCCGCTCGTGAGGATCGCGTTTGCCGTAGCGCCGGCAAAGCTCTTTCATCTTGACGATGCTCATGGCTTCCACCTCTCGCCGCGCTTGCCGAAAATCCCGCAGGGCCACCTCGTAGCAGATCTCCTTCACCGCCTGCATCTTCAGGTCCGCCATGGTGACCCAGGGAGGATCCGGCGTTGCCGGCCGGCGCCGTTGAGGGATTTGGTAAACGCGGAGGGGTTCCCGGCGTTTGCCCGGGTTGGGGAGGCCGCAGCGGCGGACGATGGAGCGGACAGTGGGCGCTGGGAGTTTTTGGCGGAGGGAGGAGATGAGGCGCCAACCGGCTTCGCACCAGCGCTGCTCCGGGTCGTCACCGCTGTCGGGGTCGGCGTGCTGGGGGTGACAGGGACACAGTGGGGACGTGGGAGGGCTGGCTTGGGACGGGGCAGTGGGGGGGGGGCACCCGGGGACCACCTGGGACCACCCGTGATGCCCAGGGACCACCCAGGGCCCCCCCTCACCATGCGCTGCTGCTCCAGCAGCTGGTCGGCCTCCTCCTTCTCCCGCCGGTACTGGTTCTCCAGGTCCTGCAGCCTGCGGGGGGACACACACACGGGGGACACGGGGTAAGCCCCCCCCCAAAAAAAAAGCATCCCCAGGGTCCCCCCGGGGCATCCCCACCTCTTCTCCATCTCCAGGCGCATGTCGATGCCCTGCTGCTCCAGCAGCTCCCGCTGGGCCAGGTTCCAGTCGGGGGGGGGCTCCGGGGGGGCGGAGGGGCCGCGCTCCCGCTCCCGGCGCGCCTGCTCCGGGTGGGTGAAGCGGAAAACGTGGTTCTTCCCCAAAACGAGGCGGTGGCCTGGGGGGGGGAACGGGAGAGGGAGGGTGGGACCCAGGTGGAGGCCAGGGGGGTCAGGGG